AGCATATCATTGAAACTGAATTTCATTGTTGAATCAGCAAGGCATTTAAAGCAATTTTTAATCTTTTTTTTATAATTGCTTTATGTCATATACAATATTATTTTCTCTAAATTTATATTTTATTTTCAAAGAGAAAGAGCACTTTCTTTCTACAGGTAAAATAAACCTGCCAAGCCGAAACAGAATGAAAGGTAATTATCCGGTGAATCTGTAAGAACTGCTTTCTAGAGAGAGTTTTTAACAGATTGGCTGCCATAAGTGTCAGGACAGCAGAAACTAACGGCTTTCTTTGCTTTGTGTGTGTAAACTAGGCCACACAAGAATGTCCCTCTTCTAGAAAAAGGACTGAACCAGGTACATTTTCAACATTTCACAGATTGGCAGTGGTGGTAGTGTGCCATGGAGTGGGTCCCAACTCATAGCAACCCTGCATAGGATTTCCAAGGCTGTCAATCTATACGGGAGCAGACAACCTCATCTGTCTCTCACTTTCACAGAGTAAAGTTGCCTTGTTCTATGTGATTTCAAAAAAAAAAGGGAAGACAATTATATTTTTACATAATTAAAACTAAATACTGTGATCCAAAGAGAATTCAGATCATTTAAATGGTCATATGACATATGTCTTATAGAACATCATGCCTAATTTCTAGGAAATCTGACTTTTGAAAATGTTCTTCTTGTTTGTTGTTAAGTGCCATCAAATCAGGTCCGACCCACAGTGATGCTGTATAGAATTTCCGAAAAGCAGGTGATGAGCTTGAACCACCAAGCTTGAGATGTGAACCGGCCTTGCAGTCTAGTGAATTAACCTACAGTGTCACTCCAGGACTCCTTGAAAACTTATAGAGCAATGGACATTAATTTGAAAAAAGAGGAAAAAGAAGAAAGGATGGAGAAGAATTAATTCCTTTCAAGTTCACCTTCAGCTAGGAATATGTTTAGAGACCTAGGACTTAAACAGAAGATGGAGTCTCTTATTAGAGAGCTTCTTCTATGCTCTACTTAGCATGACTACTAGAATTTCTCCAACACTCAGTCCACCTTTGTATCCAAAGAACACTAAACCAAAACCACATGGACTGGCTCAACAGACAACAGCCCTCAGCTGAACAAGGCCATCAAGGAACTGAGAATGGTGGCTTACTAGTCAGGAAAAGTGGGCTCACTAGGGTTGCTGTCACCAGTATGGTACCTCATATGACACCTTCTGTAGCCCCCATGGACCTCTTCCTGTGCCAGACTATAAAGAACCCTTAGTCATGTTTATTACTATTTTTCATCACAGATTAATGTGTGATAGAGCTATAAACTCCTTATATGTAGTATCTCTTAGATTATATGAATACTAACAAAACTGTCTTATAAAATCTTTCTATATTGAATTACACCATTATTAGTTACATTATTAATAACTGCAGGTAAGTCTTTTTTGATTTTTCTCTTTTCTTTATAATCACTACTTCGGTCTCAAAAAAAATTACTAATACAGATTCACAACTCATAACACTATTGTAGCTAAAATACCAGTAATCAGCAACTATAAAGACACTGTTGCTGTTGTTATTAAGTGTGGTGTGGAGTCGATTCTGACTAGAATAACAGCTTTAGCAAGGCCAAAGGAAACCATGTAATTCAAATTCGAAGCTTCTTTTCATTAGGTAATAATGACAGCTCTGATTCAGAAGATTCAAAAAGGAAATTAGCATAGAGTTTTACCCATATTAATATATGTTGTTAAGCGCCCTCAGTCAGTTCCCACTCAGCAATTTCCTAAGAGCGGCTGGTGAGTTTGATCCGGCGACCTTAAGACTCAAGACCAAAGCGGTCCAGTTCTTAATCTACAGCGCCACAGTAGGCCTCCACATGTAAACTAGGCTTACGGGAAATGCTTTTTGTTATAAATTAGGGGAATATTTTTATTAAAATTCAAATTTCTGCTGAAACACAGCACAAAATTTTTATATAGACAGTCATTTTAGTGTCACCTCCTATTGTACAATGGGGGTAGGGGATGAGCTCGGTATTAACCCAGAATGATGTCCAACAATATACATCCGCCCAAAGAGAGAAATGTTTTACCTGGAGAGAGATTCTTATCCCGGAAAGGAATTTTTTTTTTTTTAAGGGTAAACAAGGCCACGTGTTTGCAACGTGAGTCCAATTCGTTTGAACAAACTTGGTTAGTGGGCAAGGACATTTTACATATTAGCTTTTTAAAGTGTAGTTTATTCAAGACATTCGTTAGACGTCATTTTCCTTTAAAAAAAAACACCCTGCACCTATTTCTAGGGTTGCTGCTTCACAGTGATTTCCAATCCTGCATGAGATTTCTAAATCGAAGGACTAGGTGGGGTGCCCAACACCGATGAGATTTTTACAGCATGGAAATAAAAAGTATTTTTAAACCTTCTCAGGGGTGAAGAGTTAGGCAAGAATACGTGGAAACTGTCAAATGCTTCTCTACACCCACCCACCAGATACCATCGCAGCCGGCGGGGGGAGTCTCCCTCTCCTTGCCTGACAGCTTCACAGTCTTTGAGGTCTGGAGCTGCTGATCACACTGGCCCGTCATGGTATTTTCAGTTAACAAAGCAGTTACTCAACAGGGGAAAAAGCCACAAAGGAGCAGCAGCAGCAGCTGCCGCTGCACCCGTGATGCAAGTGCAGGATGAGCCCTGGGCCGCCACCGCCGACTCGGCTCCTCCGTGACGTCCGGGAGGGGTATCCCCGGCTCTCAGGAAGTGGCGACCGGGGGCGGGTCCGCCCCCACGCGACTCCCGGCCGTCCGGGCAGCCGAGCGGCAGGGCAGCCGGGCCAGCCTGCGGGCGGGGATCACCGCCCAACGCACACTCACACGCACAGCCCCGGGGCCGGGGGCCGCGCGCCCCGGGCCCTCGCCCGCCCACCCTAGCGGCGGACCCCTCGCCCGCGCCTCACTCCTCACTCACCGCAGCCCGCACTCGGGAAAGAGAAAGTCACCCCGCACCCCCCCTCTCTCCCCAGCTCACACTCACTCACCCCGACCCCCAGGGCCGACCCCAGCCTAACGTTGCAGGTCACCAGACCGGGCCGAGCCGAGTCCAAGATGGCGACTCCGCCCCCGCCCCTCCCGGCGGGGTCAGGGCGCCCCCTCACGCGGCGCGCTCGCGCCCGAGGCCCGACTAAAAATAGCCAAGCCCGACTATATTTGGTTCGGCCGGATCCCGGCGCGGCCGCGCGCCCGCCCCGCCCCGCGCTGCGCTGAATGGAGAAGGGGCGGGGGTGACTGAGGGGAACCTACTCTGCGATCTGCCGCGCGCGCCGGCGGCGCCGGGGCCAGGCCAACTGCCGAATTTAGTAACATCGCCTGCGTCAATCACGCGCCTCGCGTGCGTCAGCGCTGCGCGGCTCCAGGTCCTGCTCCCCCTTCTCCAGTCTTTGAATGGATACAAAGTAGGAGAGCGCCCTCCTTCTTTGCTGGACTGGATTGGGACCCGCGGCAAAGCAGAGGCTGCGTTCCTCTCCGCTGGGTCAACTTTTCGGAGCATCCTCCCAAGGTCTTCTCCACACTACCTCCAGTCTCAAGAGAAGGCGAAGAAACATATATATGTGGTGTAAATTTGTTTATACTTTTGTTTTCAAATTTCTGGTTCGAAGTTGATTCTTCTTCGATTCTGCAATGTGTGTTATTGACAATGGGATCCTCCCCCAACTCCGCCCCTCCTAAGCACACATACACACTTAAAAGATTGTGACAGGTCAGAGAAATAGTGTTGCATCTGGTTTAAGCGGACCATATGAAGACCTCGTCCGTATTATTTCATTCAAATATTTTCTCCTCCTCAGAAATACATTTCTAAAATAGATTGCTTTCACTTGGATGCAACCTTTGGACCTAGGAAATATTTTAACTCTGGTGAATTTTTGTTTTTGTTTTCAGCAAAAATCACACTCAAACACATCATTTCCAGGAAGAAATTGCTCCCCCTCACACAGCCGTCCAGGCTTTCAGCACACCATTTCGTGACAAATGTGTCTCAGGAGACTAGAGCAAAACCCCTAGCTAGGGATTGACGAATAAATCCTGTGGATTGATTTCGAAATGTTTAATTTGGGAGATAGGCGGGAGGCGTTTAAAGCCATCAAAAAGTGAAAGTATGAGCAATGAGTTCAGTTTCTAGTGGGACGATAATTTGCAACTGTAAGACCTACTCAGCTGTTTAGCACGTGTGTATATTTGTTTTATACACATTAAGTAGTTTCTTCTGCAGCGCTCGCGTGGGTGATGGATGTGCACTTCTTTGGGTTATATATTGTGTCCAGTTAGGGAACCCACATCGTAATGTACAGAAATAAAACTCTGGCCCTGCGTCCTTCCTCATCCCTAAGAGAAACATGCGCCCAGCAAATGATAGGAGTGGGAGAGGTAGCCCAGGACCAAAGGGACGTAAACAGTTTGAGAACCCAAGCAGGAGAAGAGGGCTGCTGCACCTTCGGGAGTCCGGGTTGGTGCCTGACTTCTGCATGGACTGCCAGGTCGCTCAGAGAAGCTGGCTGACAGAGTCTTCCCTTTCGGAAAAGCTGTCCTCTCCCTTACCCCCTAGCCCTGGCTTCCTGCCACCGGGCAGCCTCAGAGACGCGCCTGCAGCACTCCTCCAACTCTACTCCACCCGAGCCTGACAGCTGGGCGGTCCCGCCTGACCCGCGGGCGGGCCGCTGCACCCCTGCGCAGACGCGCGCAGAGGCGAGCTGCGCGGCTACGAAGGGGTTGGCAGAGCGGGTTCGAGATGCCCCCAGGCCCGGGCGGACCTTGTGAGCAGTTTCCATTGTGCCGGCGTGCGAATGGCCGGGGTACGGGGGCGCGCGCGCGCGCACACGCACTCACACACCCTCCCTAGCACACGCGGAACCGGCCGGGCCAGGGGAGGGAGGAGGAGGGTGACGTAGCGTCCCATGGCGTCACATTGACGTCTCGCATTCCAGGCACTCTATGGAGAGGCCGCTAGGGCTCCTGTGGCATAAATGACGTGCCGAGAGAACGAGCGAACGCGCAGCCGGGAGAGCGGAGTCTCCTGCCTCCCGCCCCCTACCCCTCCTGCTCCTGCTCCTCCTCCGCTCCCCATACACAGACACGCTCACAACCGCTCCCTCACTCTCACACACAGACACACGCGCGCTCACACGCTCCACACACACACACTCCACTCTCTCCCGCGCGCTCACACCCCTCTCTCCCCGAGCCCTCGCCAGTGCAGCGCCGCGCCGTAGCCGGACGCCCCTCCCGGGCTCACTTTGCAACGCTGACAGCGCCGGAGGTGGCCGTGGAGGTGGGAACTGCGGCGACATTCTCCCTATTGGTCGCGCCCAGAGCAAGGACGCCCGCGGAACCCTTCGGCCGCGCTCGCCCATGAGTCGGGACCGCACCATCTCCCGCCAGCCGCTCACAGCCCCAGGGAGCTGCTGGGCTTATACTCCGCAGTCTTTCCGGGACAGCAGCTGTGATTCCCCCTTCTCCCCAGTGCAGATTTTGGGGCAGCTCTCTAGAAATTCGCTCTAAAGACGGAATCGCCACAGCACTCAAGTACGTATGACATTCGTCTAGTTAATAAGGGGACTTGCTAAAAAGTTGGCGCGCTGGGAAGCATCGCTCCTGAAATTGACAACTTTGAGTATGGGGTTTTCCCCCATATCTCCCAGCTCCGGTTCTGCTGGCCTCGCGGCCCATGGGTTCAAATTTGAAACTTTTCCTCCGGAGCTGGGCCTTGGGGATCTTTGGAGCTCGTGGGATTCCTCCCCTGACCCGGAGAGGCGAAATGCCTCTAACAAAGAGGAGGACCGGGATTTGTGCAGTAGCAGCTCCAGCGATGCAATTCTGGGTATTTCGGCTCTAGTTGTCATGGTAATGATGCTCTGGGCTGCGGCGGCGGCGGCGGCGGCTGCTGCTGGGAGTTGCAGCTCCGGTGATAAACGGCAGTAATTTTCCTACCTTTTAAGTAGAATTGAAAATAGGGGATTTGGTGGATCTAAATTAGTGCGTCCAGTAGTGACTCTGGAGCTGGTAGACTGGTCTTGAGTGAAGGGTCTGAGCAACGGCGGTCGGAGTTTGTTTGCAGAGACGCACGAAGGATCCCGGGGAAGAGGGAGTAATTGTAGAAATCTGATTTATTGTATTGAAATGAGCCTGGGGCTCCGCCAGGCACGTCTGCCCCGTGTCCTCGGCTTGCCCGTTTACACTTTTTCCTTCCGAGGTAATCGGGTGTAATTGCTGACTCCGGTGCCCGGACACGCGTGGGGATCGTGTCCCTCCTCTACTGGCCTTGGTTTACTGTGAGAAAGGCATGTTTTCTCTTAACTGGCGCCTTTGGAGAAGTTCCTCAGAGTGTTTTACTCTTAGTAGAAATTAAAGTTGTCAATGGTGAAAGGAGAGTGAGTGGTCACGCGAGCGCAGCCAGCAGAGATTGCTTTCCAAAGGCGCCTCTAGAACCTGTTGGAGGCTTCTGGGCAGTCATAAGGGAGAAAGTACCTGTTTCTAGATTCCAGAGAACGTTCTTGGAGATTGCCTATTATTTCTGCTTCCATATTCTCCTGAGGGACATGCTGCAAGGAGTTTAGTGGTGAGAAATCCCAGGCTGTTTACCCAATCAATGCCTTAGGGTACCTGGAGAAGTGTCCATGGAGTCGTTTAATTATTTCATCGCGAATCCAACCCTGGATTTCCTTTTTCCCTACGACAGAGTAATATTAAATAGAACCCAGTTAGAGAAAGTAAAAGCCGCCCAACACGGCTAGTGGGTACAATGAATGAAGTTAGAGTTTCTGAGAGTTGGAACAAAATGCTAATAATATGACTATCAAAGACTCCTTAACCCACAGGAGCCTCTTTACCTTCTTCTCCCTCCCCCATCCACCCACCTACCCCCTCTTCTGCACTCGCAGAAATTCTCCCCGCGGTGTGTCTCCCGGGCCTTTTCTGAGAAATCTGTCTTTCCTTTTCTGTTTGTTGGTCCTCCATTCCTCCATCCCCCGCCCAACGTCCATCCCCGCCCCCCTGGGTTGGAAACTCCGCGGAGGAGCCGGGTCACAATGGTGCATTTCACGGTTTCCTCACCCAGAGGTGAATACGGGGGTGTTCCTTTCGTCTGCCCCCGTGAAAGAAAGGGGCTTTGACAGAGATAGTTACTTCTTCCTAATTTACAACCTCGAGGCTCTGTACTCCCGGCCTCGGCAGCCGTGAGCAGCTAAACGTGTTTCCAAGCGCGGAGGCTTTGCCTAGGTAACCGGCAGTTTAGGAGGTGGAGAAAGCTGGGAGGCGCTCGGTTTAGCACTGCGCAAGCAGCGCGCTCTCTCCAGCGCACCCTGGACGTTCGAGGGGCACCCATTCCTTGGGGAAGCGCGACTGTTGTCTGTCCGAATCCGAGGTCGTCCCCTGGAGAAAATCTACAGTTGTAACGCCGCCACCCAGGGCACGGGGGAGATGAGGGCACCTACAGGCGGGAGGGGGGGCAGTCCTGGAAGTCACCACCGAAGATGCCCCGAGGGCGGGAACCGCACACAGCAGCAGTGGAGAGGTTCGCTGGTACCTGCACTGGAGCTAGCAAACAGTTTCCGTCGGAGCGGCTAGGGCTGGGGTTGGGGTGGCAAGGGAATCCCTTTTTCCTGGCCGTCGAGAGGGTATAGGTGGCGCTTCGCGGGTCTAGGGGCTCGTGGCCGGACTTGTTCTTCATACAGACAAGCCCGGGGGCGCAAGGGCAGCAGGGAACGAAACTTACGCAACCCTAGAGGTCCACAAACCCCGGAGGTGTAGGCTTTTTTTGGTCCCACGTTTCTACTTCTCCACCAGTGAATCGGTCAGGGCAAAGGGGGCGCTACTGGCCAGAATTTGGGACAACCAGAGTCGTCCCCGAGGCCCACAGAGCGTCGCTTCCAAGTACAAAGTTTCCTTGCGGCTGTGCGTAGAGACGCTCGCCCGGGAGCGGCGCTCGGCGCGCTTCAGAATATGCCCCCTCAGGGCCGCGGAGCGGCCGGGAACCTCGAAACCGTCCATCATCGGGCTGCCACCGGCTGAGTGCCTGGGCCTCCCTCTGCCCGTTCCACCAGTCGCGAGTGCTGTGTGCCCGATCTCCTGTTTCCAGATCGGCCTTATTTCCATTGGCCCTTTTGTTTGCTTGACCCCTGGCCCCCGAAACTCGCGGCTAATAGAAACAAAGCTCCATTAGCATTTAGAATGAAAAGCTCTGACTTTCTTATCTCCTCGGGGCATTCATGCATTCGTTCTGGACCTCCTGCATTTCCTATGCAACGTGTAAATTTTGCATTTGAGTGGTGGGGCGGACGGAGTTGGAAAAGAGCTATTTTACGCTCTTGCACATCCACTGACCCCAAATTCAGGTGGAACTCGTTCCTCAAGTGTTCGCCCTTTCTTCGGTGTTCCTGTATTTGCGAGCGTTGAAGCAATTTTGAGACCACATAATCCATTCCTGGGTGGACTACTAGCTGCATATTTTTTTAGCCACGGCCCGGGTGCCACAAAACGGCCTTGAACGAAGTGAACGCAGACATTTTTCTGTGTGTTATGCTTTTTGCCTTGGGGAACAGTTCCCCATAAGCACTGCCTTCTTTTCTAAAGGCCTCCTCCAACTCCCCCCCACCCCAATTGTGCCCACTCCAGGCCGAGGTGGCCTAACCAGGTCTCACTGTGACCTCTGCCCCCTTTACCGGTGCCCGCAGAGCTCACGGTGAAAGAGAGCAGCCCGGCGAGTCCGGGTCCTGAGGCTGGACTCTCAGCGGATCCAGGCAGCACAGCTGCCACACCACCTCGCCGGACATCCCCACCTCCTGGACCCTCAACCTCTGCTGGAAAGACCTCCAGCCCCACCATTCAGCGCGCAAGATACCCTCCAGGTAGGTCTGAATGTATGACCGGTCTTCCTCCTGGGCTGGGAGTGGTGAGCTGGGAAGCCAGACACCCAAAGGCCAGACTGGTTGGTTGGCCCAGCTCCGGGAGAGTGACTGCGCCACGAATTTCACAGAACAGGTGGCTTCCTCACATGCAGCTCCTCTGCGTACCACACCCTGTTGTTCCCGAATGGAGCAGGCGACTCAATTAAGGGTTGCATTTTTTTAAAAATTCTGAAAAATTACGAATAAACTAAAAGATTTGTGTCCTGCTAAGGCACACTTTATGTATTCCCTTTTAACATCTTTACATATCCAATATGCTTTTAAGAGTCGTGGAGTCACTTGGAGCATAATTATTTGGGCACAGGATCGTTGAAGTTCAAAGAGAAAGAAAGAAAGCATTTGAACTGAAAACCAAGAAGTAAATTTGAGTTTGGCAAACAAAAGGGTTGCAGGTTTGGCTTGTGCCACCTACTCACACATTTACTAAAGATGCCTGTGTAGGCATCAGAGAGACACTGATCAATAGAACAAAGTCACAACATGCTCATCTTCTAACTGGAACCCTAGAACAACACAAAGAGCAGTAAATAGGGATTGGCAGGAAAGAACGGCAGAAAAGACTAATGGAGAAAGCCTAGCAGTACCAAAGAAAGAGAGAAGGGAACTAGATGAAAGACCAGCCCATGATCATTTCATCCCAGCAACCAAGCAGCGAGATGAGCAACCCTTTAACCTTAAAATAGTGAGTGTCATTTTAAGGCCCTGCTTTTAAGGCTTGAATTGGCCTTTCTTCACCACTCCTTCTTCCAACAGGCCCTCATCACCTTTTTTCCAGTCAAGATTTCATCCCATACAGGCATGACTCAATCAGGTTTGGAAATGTGGGTAAGAGAAAGATGTCAAAGGAAATGTGAACACTCACTTCTCTATTAGTCACACCTTTTACACCAAAGGCACCAAAGAAATGTTAGCACCTGCTTTTCCTTTGTCTCAGAAAAACCAACCACCAAAAACTTCCCATTTTACCACTTATATTTAGCCATAAAGAAAGGCAAATAATTAGATAAATCATCTATTGGATCCAGTAATGCCCAAGACCTTCTCACCCAGACCAACCTCAACCTCTCCAAACAATAGTAAGTACCCTCCATACCAGGTCTGCACAGTCAAACTGACAAAGAAACCAAACCTATTCAGAAACTGCTTTCTTCTGTTCTTCTCTTGTAATAAAATATGTAGATGAATAACTCATCTATTATGATAGCTATAAACTGTTGTCATAAATAAACACTGAAATGTTTATTACTCAGAATTAGAAGAAGAAAAATATATATTTGTAGATAGATAGATGATAGATAGATAGATAGATAGATAGATAGATAGATAGATAGATAGATAGATAGATAGATAGATAGAAGGCAGAGTAGATCTAATGGACATTTCATTAAGCTGATCTTTTTCTTAGCAGGTGGTACAAATAGCCCCAGCCCATTTCCTGGACCTATTCTCCCACCTCACCACCCAGAAGTTATCAAGGGTCTGGGGTGGGATTCACTTTGTACAGGTTACCAGTCTTGTTCATAGAGGAGAGGTGGGAAAAGTCAACCATAGCTTATGTGGATATTCTCCACTGCCACTGTAAAATGTTATACTGTCACCACATTGTTGTTGTTAAGTGCCGTTCAAACCGACCCTGTGGTTCAAACTGACCTTGCTTGCAGTCCAGCAAATTAACAAACGGACAGGCAGTCCAGCAAATTAACCGGCCACTTATTTTTTCTTTTTTTAGTAATTCAAAAGTTTACAAATCTATGTGTGTGGCTTAGAGGACCAATAGCCTCTTGCTCTCCAAACCCCCCCCACCCACCCACCCAAGATAAGCCAACAGGGCATTCACTAGCTTTTTCTTTGTTCTCCAACTTGTAGCTGGAATTACGCCAATTACTTTATAGGACTCAAAGTCACTCCCCCTCCCACCCCCAAATTAGAGAGCAATGGGTGCAATGCTATTAGCTAAGAAACAATACTGATTGCTTCTGAATGACCTTTTCCGCTGTCGCTGCAGATATGCCCTGTGTGCAAGCCCAGTATAGCCCTTCACCTCCAGGTTCCAGTTATGCAGCGCAAACCTACAGCTCGGAGTACACCACCGAGATCATGAACCCCGATTACACCAAGCTGACCATGGACCTCGGCAGCACGGAGATCACAGCCACTGCCACCACGTCCCTGCCCAGCTTCAGTACCTTCATGGAGGGCTACTCGACGAGCAGCTACGAACTTAAGCCCTCCTGCGTGTACCAAATGCAGCCCTCTGGGCCGCGGCCCTTGATCAAGATGGAGGAGGGCCGAGCGCACGGCTACCACCATCACCACCACCATCACCACCATCACCACCATCACCAGCAGCAGCAGCAGCCCTCCATTCCACCCCCCTCCGGCCCGGAGGACGAGATGCTGCCCAGCACCTCCATGTACTTCAAGCAGTCCCCGCCGTCCACCCCCAGCACACCGGGCTTCCCTCCGCAGGCGGGGGCGCTGTGGGACGACGCGCTGCCGTCTGCGCAGGGCTGCATCGCACCGGGCCCACTGCTGGACCCGCCGATGAAGGCAGTACCCACCGTGGCGGGCGCGCGCTTCCCGCTCTTCCACTTCAAACCCTCGCCGCCGCACCCGCCTGCACCTAGCCCGGCAGGCGGCCACCATCTCGGCTACGACCCGACGGCTGCCGCCGCGCTCAGCCTGCCGCTGAGCACCGCCGCCGCGGGTACCCAGGCCGCTGGGCTGGAAGGCCACCCGTACGGGCTGCCGCTGGCCAAGAGGGCTACCGCGCTGGCCTTCCCGCCGCTCAGCCTAACCGCCTCCCCTGCGGCGTCCAGCTTGCTAGGGGAGAGCCCTAGCCTGCCGTCCCCGTCCAACAGGAGCTCCTCGTCCGGCGAAGGGACGTGCGCCGTGTGTGGGGACAACGCCGCTTGCCAGCATTATGGTGTGCGCACCTGTGAGGGCTGCAAGGGCTTCTTCAAGGTGAGCGGGCCTCCTCCTGGCCGCCCTCAACGATACCCCCCCTAACCCCCCAGGAGGGAGCTCCTTGGTGACTGACTGTAAGGGTGATCTTTACCCTTCCCAGTATGACAGGTGTCGTTGTGAAACTGTGCATTGCTGTAGCCATTCCTAGCCCCTTCCTGCCTATTTTCTCAGCGATGAACATCTTTCAGCAGATTCTATGATCTCAAAAGTACAAAAATCTATGTGACCTAACGAGGGATAGATTCTGTGTGCCAGGCGCTGGACATTCACATTTCATTTAATCCTCACACTAAGAGCTGCTCCAGAATTGGACAGATCCAGGATTGAATGTTGGCCTCTCATGAGCTATTTTTATTAACAGTGTCTTGAAGATTTTAAATATCCTTGTTTTAGAGATGAGGATTGGAAGTTCAGAGAGGTTATCCAACTGGCCCAGGACAAACACTCAGGGTATGAGATGGAGGCAGGATGCCAACACCTGCCACTCACCAGCTGCAGAATAGACAACTAGCCAGATGCAGTTTGGATCAGCTCTGGCCATCGAGGGTGGAAGTTGGGATCTTACCAATCCATTCTTTCCTCTAGAAACCCTTCCGATCTCTGTGCCATATACAACATCAAGTGTAAACTTTGTTCATTATCTCATAATTCCAGAGACCTATTAGACAGGTGGGAGGGTCTTAAGTGTCACTCGTATTTTACCCATGAGGACACTGAAGCTGACAGTAGTGAGGACCCATGTGTTGGGTTATATAAACAATGGTTTAAGGTTAGTATGAGACAATTCCAGCTGGTTCCATCACTCAAGGAAGAAAAATCTTGTTCTCTTCCTGCTCTTCATTTTGCTGTTGACTCTTGAATTTCTTCAGACACTTAATTCTGTACCACTCTCCTCAATCCCATCATCACAGGTATTTGCAAGGCCACAGATGGTCTTCCACTCACAGCCACGCCCTGGTCCAGTGCAAGACCAGGGGAATGATATGGGAAAGTGGGTTAGTGAATGAGTAACAGGATTTGTGAGGCAAATAAGATGTATTTGGGAGCATGCTGGAATTAGAAGACAAAAATCAGAGTCCTAGATTTGCCACCTACCAGCTGTATGACTTTGGCAATGACACTTCTTTCTAGGCCTCAGTTTCCTTATAAGTGAATAAAATGTGCCTCAGAGGACTGTATTAAGTGAGATAATACATATAATCAAAATCCTTATGATCCTTAAAGGGTTGTAAAAGTAACAGTTCGTTGTTAAATGAAAACTACAAAATACTTGTCAAATTCCACTATTTGCAAGTGGGTGTACTAATATATGACGCTTATTTTTGATCTGGGAATAGGAATCATGTGATTAAATAAATCCTTCAAATAAATGAGAAAATGCTTATAGAAAGCTGCTATATGTCAGGTGCCAAACATGTATGCAGGGTCATGTTGCTTTAAATCTAGCCTTTCCCGCTCTCCCCCCCCCCCCTTTTCTTACCTACCAAAGTTTTACCTAGAGAACTACTTTTAAGTAACTGCATTCTTTCAGCAGATTTGATTTTCACAACATTCCGGTGGAAATGCTGAATGGCAGTGAAATGGCAATGCTGAAATAGCAGCAGAAAGGGGGAATAGAAAACAAACAAGAGAAGCATAAATCACCCAGAAATATAATCATGCCGGAATAATTGACAGTTGACCAAAATGCAGGCGTGGTAATACAACCTGAGTCAAGAAATGTCAATGAAGTGTTCCCCAACAGCTTCCCTGTCTGCAGCTCTCCTTGAAAACAAATCTATACTTGAAAGGGAGGGGCTGGACTGGGGGAGAACTACCCCACAGATCTGTTAATTAAGGGAACAGGAGTAGGTTTTACCCAGTGGCTTTCTACCATTAAATTGAATTCTTTAAAAATGTGACATGTAGTGCAGTTAATGATGGGAATTCAGGGATTGAACAGTAACGATCTCTCCTTGCCCTTAAACAGGACAGCAGACACATACAAATATGGTAAAGGTTTCCGGTTGCTGAGAAAGTATATACCTGAAACAGAGTCCCCACCAGTACTCACATTGGTATATAATCTCAAGGATGATAGAAAAAATAAAAGCGTTCTAGAAATGACTGCATGCTCGATGAAAGAGAGCTTCATTCAGCAGATGCACACTTCTTAGCATTACAGGCTGTTACAATTTAAATGCTTCTGGAAATTCAGAAGTATGGTTTGTGTTTTGGAATTTTGGATTTTAAACTAATAGGAGAAATGTATCATTATGCTTGTAAGTTTCTTTATGTTTTATGGAAGCTATTTACGAACTATTCTCTAAAATGAAATTCAAAGGTAACAGGATGCAAACTGATATGTCAGGTTAAAGATGATCGAAAGTAGAGAAAGAGTTCAAAGTAAATACGGAATTTTGGATACAGATCTCAAAACCCAAATTATCTGGATTTCTTTCTTTTCTTTTCTTTCTTTTTTATGAGGCCCAGATTTAGGCTTGCCAAATAATTACCAACTTTCTGCTCTATTTAGAGTTCTATAGACCCAGGTAATTTCTGAACAGCTTGGACATCTGTGGCAATAGTTATCTCAGAAATGACCTACTAATGGGATTTTTCACTGAAAATATATGACTGTCATATTTCCTTCTCTCTCTCTCTCTCTTTTGTTTTTTAGTTTTGCTTTGCTTTCCTTGGACATGATGATGGGTTTAGTATCAAATTTAAAATTTGGCTTTCAAAGTCAGAAATGACCAGTTTAACATGTCTTTTAAAGAGAAAACATATTACACCAGTTGACAGACTGATTAAATGAATTTTTTATTTTTGCATTATTTTCTATGTGATTTAACTAGACAAGTCCTGGTTTTGCTTTTTATGATTTCATCTCTATTGGGTGACAAAGCCAGTTACTATGCTATTTGACTTATGATATGATAGCAAATAAAGTACATCCCACATCATTTTGATTTTATTTTAATAAGGTCAGCAATAATCAGGGGAGTGGAACAAGTAGGAAATTGTTCCCAAAGGGATATTAAAAGTAGAGATAATCTAATCCTCTAAGGTATGATACATTGACCTGGTAATTTCAGATATGATTTTATCATTCAGAGTTGGGTGTCTCCTGAGACTTGCTTCAGAACAATCTGAGATGATTTTCATTGTCAGCAGCTAACACTAATAAAATTGTTTTTCCTGCAGGCTAGCGTGTTAGGAAATTAAATTTATCTAATTATACGAATTGCACTGTCGCTTTTCCCATTGTAATTAAAATACATCTTGTCAGGTCCTACCTCTTTCCAGAAACTATTACTTGACTATCTCTGTATTGTATTTTCTCAGAGAACGGTGCAGAAAAATGCAAAATATGTTTGTCTGGCAAACAAAAACTGTCCAGTAGACAAGAGACGTCGAAACCGATGTCAGTACTGTCGATTTCAGAAGTGTCTCAGTGTTGGAATGGTTAAAGAAGGTAAGGTTATAATGTTTTCTATCCAGAATGCTTGCACCCATTCTCACATAGCATGGGGGAGAAATTACATTTATATCAGAATGTATTTTCCTATTTCCTCTGTCTCCCTCCAACATTTTATTTTTATGCTATATATATTTGCATTTAAAAATAAGTGCAAACAACTGATTCTAATCTTTCCAAATCAATAAAGAGCTTTTGTATATACACATGTAATCTACTTAGCATGTAGACTACATACGTGTTCTTCTTAGGACTAATTCATTACCAAATGTAAGTATGAGGTGATTTTTAGGCTACTTGTTTTAGAACTCATTAAATCGTTGTATAAATATTATTCAAAACTTACTGCCACTTTTACATGGTTGGTCCACCTGTAATGTGTTTGACTCCTTATTATGATCTATGGCTATTCATGGACCTCTCTGAAGATTTCTTCCTTTCTTTCTCTCGGCATCAGTTGTCCGGACAGATAGTTTAAAAGGGAGGAGAGGTCGGCTGCCTTCCAAACCAAAGAGCCCGTTACAGCAGGAACCTTCTCAGCCCTCTCCACCTTCTCCTCCGATCTGTATGCTGAATGCCCTTGTCCGAGCTTTAACAGACTCCACACCCAGAGATCTTGATTACTCCAGAGTAAGTTTTGTGATGTCCTGCTTTCAAATGAATGATCAGGAGCTCTCTCTGTTCCTGATATTAGTACTGTCTACTGTTTCAATGACTGTGCCTGGCACTGTTCTAGGCAGTTCTTGTACCTCTTCTGTATTTCTCTTCATTAGGCAATTCAGTACATCCATTGCACCAAATAAATTTTTGCTTTATTGGATCTCTGCATGTACTAATAAGTGGCCCCTGACAGTGTGGCACCTGTCAGATTCATTATTACAGGATTCCTGGTGGTTGTGCCAGGAAGATCTGCACAGGTGAATTCTAATTTGTAAATTTCTTTCCTGGCCTAGACATGGTGTGTGTGTTTGTTCGTTTCATACAGTGTTGAACCTTGAGCAACTTGCCCAATTGCACTGGCATTTATTGACTTGCTGCTTATTCCAAGGGATTAGACCATTGATGGAGAGGAGCGAGCGCTGCTGGCCTTGACATCAGGAGGCACAGGAGGCCTGGAATGGCATGCCATTCCTGCTGCTTCCTGACTGTCACCTGCCTCCTGCCCTCGGCTCCCTTACTTCAACAGTACAGATGATTGCAATGTTTAACCCCAGAGGGGTTACCAACATCAGCCAAACAAGAATGGTGGTTGTGACAATGTTTTGAAAACTATAAAGGGTTACTGGTATTGTTATTTAAGCCAGCCAAAACAGCATTTTATTTCATATGGGATATTTTTTAATCTCATCAGTTTGAACTCTGTAAATTCCCAAGAATTGGCTATCACATGGAATTGCTATGAGAAAGGATTTTCTGAGCAAATGTATAAACATTGTTGCTGTTCTGTGTCATCAAGTTGATTCTGACTCATAACGACCCCATGTGACAAAATAGAACTGACCCATAAGGGTTTCTTGGCTGTGGCCTTTATGAATGTAGATTGCCAGGATGTTCTCCCAAAAAGCCACTGGGTGGGTTCAAACTGCCAACCTTTCAGTTAGCAGCTGAGTGCTTAACAGTTGTACCATCAGGGCTCCTTGTATAACTTTAATATAAAGCAATTTTTGAAAGGCTGTAGGAAAGTGAACTTCTAGTTAAACAAGGTCTTGGTCAAAGAAAGCAGTGAAAAGCAAGAAGATCACAGTTAATGAACAATTTCTACAAGCTAACCAAGATGCTTGGCACTGTCGTACATATTGCCTTATTTTAGCTTTTCAGCAACCATGAACTGTAGAAATAGTTCTCACCTCTTCAGCATCAGAATACGTTGAAACAGTTTGCACACAAATGAGAGGGTGTCAAGTTGGTAGATCTTTAATTTGGCAACTACCAGGTTGCTCCCCTGGGTAGTTGCCAAATAGGTAAAGAGTGTATCTGCTGAGCATGTCTCTGAGATGTGCCCACGTTTTAGGTTGCAATGTTGACAGAAACAAAAGAATGATTGATATGTTCCCATGAGCCTTTTCTCTAATTAACCCCTTCATTACGTAGCTCCTTCCTGATCACAGCATTTCATGTGACAAGTACAGTAGATCCTTAGCACCAAAGGATGAGGACTCTTATTCTGATTACAAGTTGCCTCTCTTAACTAAAGTTAAATTTCAAATAATAGTATAACAAAATAATGCTGTGGTTGAGAACTTGTTGTTGTTGTTAGGGCCATCGAGTCGCTTCCGACTCCTAACGACCCTGCATAGGTTTTCTGAGGAGCAGCTGGTGGGCTTGAACTGCTGACCTTGTAGCTCAAACTGACCTTGCGGTCCATCACATTATCCTGTAGCACCACACCAGGACTCTGGTTAAGGGTTTAGGTGTTTGATATCATGCAGTCCTAGATTAAGATAATCAGTCCCAACATCATCATTCATTAGCTCAGTGACCTTAAGCAAGTGATTAGAACCCTCTTAATGCTTCTGTTGCCTTATCTCTGGTCTTAGGGTAATAGTAATACCACCAATGGACTTACCGCCTGGGGTTGTTTGTGAAGACTAGATATGATGCTTGTTAAAATGTTAGCACAGTGTTCTGTACATTATCTCTTTGACCAAACTTTGCTGCTCTGCTATTTGTTGAGTATACTACTGAATACTCACACTACTCATACCTGACACTGTGCGGCAGCACCACTGAGGTCAGGATTATGAAACCTGCTTCACAGGTGAAATTTAAACTCAGAGAGGCTGAAGGACTGGCATCCGAATGTCATACATCTCATATGCATCTTCAGTGAGATTAGATGCCAAGAGCTCTGGTAGTATAGTGGTTACGAGTTAGGTTGCTAATTTCACGGAGAGCAGTTCGAAACTACCAGCTGTTCCGTGGGAGAAAGATGAGGCGTTCTGCTCCCGTAAAGATTTGCAGCCTCGGAAACCCTGTACAGGGTCGCTATGGGTCGGAACCAACTCGACGGCACATAACAACAACAGCATTGTTGTTGTTAAATCAGTTCCAACTCATAGTGACCCTGTATAGGGTTTCCAAGAAACACTTGTTGAGTTTGAACTACCTACCTTATGGTTAGTAGCCCAGTGCTTAACCTACAGCTCCACACCACGATTCCAGATGTCAAGAGTATTGGACCCCAAAGTCTGTGCTAAATGTACAGCTTCACTGCCTCTTGGTTTTCAGTGAGAGAGGATGCTAGAAAAGCCTTCAGGAATAAAAACTCCTCCCGGAGGTACCCTGGCTTCCACTTAGGCAGTTTGTGTGACTTAATAATGCTTCTCTGGACTGCCTACGCTAAAGCTACAGCCCAGACCCAGACCTTGTTCCAGGACACTCGAAATTACTATTAATGGTCAACAATCCAGAGACTTTAGGCCCCCAAAGTGACTTTTGGGCCCCAAAGTATCCAATTATTGCTCTATGGCCTAATTAGTTATTTCGTGGCAAACCTTCCCCCAGCACTTGTTCCAACTGGGAGCTGTCTCCACAGTGAAAAATTGATCCAGTATGTTTGCTTGCCTCTGCACCGCTCAGTCTGTTAGACTAGAGTCATCATCCTCATCAACAAACATTTATCCAATTTAATTGTTAGCTTTGTCCAAAGCTGCAGATTGACCATGCCAGCGTCTGGATCACACTGATGCTACCTTGGGGACCTTGCTCAATAGTTATTTTAACTGCATTGTTTTGGAAGCAGGTTGAACCTCATAACTTAGATTCTCCTGCTTCTATATAGTTTTACAAAATTATCAAAAATTGGACCAAAATCAATTAAATTAAAAGACTTTTTGAAAAATACAGTAAGTTTTCATCAAAAACTTGGATGAAGACATCGAAGACATACTAATCACATTTGCAGATGACAGAAAGCTGGGAGGGATCGCTAATATGATGGATGTCAGTATCAACATTCAAAATGAATTTCGACAGGTTGGAACAGGATGGGCTGAAACCATCATGATGAAAGTTAACAAGAATAAATGTGAAACTCAACATTTAGAATTTAGGAAAAATGGGAGAGCCTTGGCTTGTCAGTGGTACATGTTAAAAAGATCTGGGGAATTTATTCCATAGATGCTTAATAGGAACCAACCAAGTATTTGTGTGGTAGAAGGAAGGGATGCTTAATAGCCTTAGGATGAAATGTGGAAACCAGAACCAACTTGCTGTTGAACTCACAGGCTTTGAGTTCAGCTTCAAGGTGAGATTTAAGAGGGACACAGTGTTTCTAGAAACTTGTAAAGGATAGAAAGATATAAACAGAAGGAGAGAAGACTCAGGGAGACTAGGTTACTCTTGGAATTTCTGATGGGCTTCCCTGGGGCAGAGGGCTGTTGCTCTTAAGGACAGATTTAGTGGAACCTGGAGTGAGGTGCCTTCCAACTCATGCTGAGGATCAACATAAGAAGTAATAAAGGAGAACACGTAACAGGATTCCTTACAAGGAGTCAGCTTATTTTGGATAATGTTAAGTGCCTTCAAACACTTAAGATTTTATGATTCTGAAGATCACATTATTAATCCTAAATATTAGTGATTATATATAAATATAATAAACATGAGTTCTTAAGTAACTTGTTATTTAACCAGACTGAACTTAATATTATCTTTCTTAAATATGTGAATGGATTACTTGAATGCCTGCTTTGAGCCAAGCATCTTCACTTAAATTTTTACATAATTTCATTTAAACCTCCCTCATCTTTGTGTGGGATTATTTATGATTTTAGCAATTATTTTAAGAATGTCATTCATTAAAATCCAGTTTTCATAACACCTTCCTCCTTAAATTTTCTAATCCAAACCTCATATTTTCAGAGCAACAAATTAAGATTTTAAAGAGGTTATGTGGCTTGCCTAAGGTCAGTGGCATAGTGAGGTCTGGACCCGAATCTCATCACTCAAGATAATGTCTCTAATTCAAATACTGTCACTGCTACTGAATGGCAAGTTAGTATATATATTTTTTTAATGAAGGCTTTATTTTTTTAATGAAAGCTTTATTCTATTTTAAAAATTACAGTAATAATATATACCCATTGATTTGATTTAGAAATGAGTAAAGTAAAACAAAAAACTATGACTCGTCTTCATTTAACAACCAATTGCCATCAAGTCCTTCCCAACTCTTGGTGTCCCCTGTGTCAGAGTAGACCTGTGCTCCTTATGACTTTCAGTGGCTGCTTTTTGGAGAAGTAGATTA